TTAGGGTTTAGGGGTTTAGGGCTGGATAATTTGCATACTGGCTTTTGAGGTTTTAGGGCTGCGCTTCTTGCTCTCCGGTGCCCGTTGCTTTGGTATTTAGCTTCTCCCCATACGTATCGAGGCCTTAGTACTTAGTAGAGTTTCGGGATAATTAAACTGTACTATGGTAAAGTTATATAGAGAAATCAAGGGGGACATTACTTGTTATGTAGAGACACTAGGGATATTGCTACCTACAATCTATTCAACCCTCTGCATTAGTCTTGTCAGTGGGGCAGGGGCCACTAAGGTGTATGTTTTCTTCGAGCTTACTTGGGTTTTTGTCCTACGATGTTACCATACAAGGAGTAGTCTCGCCTTTTTCGTCCGTATCTCTTTGTAGTATACCATAACCTACTCTATCTATCTACCCTCTTGTAGTCCCTATATAGTTCCACCGTTGTACCGCAATATGATTGCAATATAACTGCACCGAAACATCGCAAAACCCAATTCTCACAGGTCTTCGCCCGCACCAGCCCGAATCTCCGTACCAGTTGTTGAGGCTCAGGCCTACATCCCAGAAAGTCAGGAAGAACACCCGGGTGCTGTGTGTTTTTGACTAGACGTTGACACAGGGGCTTTGAAGCTTTCAGGGCAGACGGGTACATAATATGTATTAGAGTTTAGGGTTTGGGGTGTAGAAGTGATTGAAGTAAGTTTCGTGTCACCTGACAGACCTTGTCTAGAGAGAGATGAAAGCGCAAAATTGGAGGAGAAGGCTGGGAGGACCCTAAACCCTAAACCCTNNAAACCCTAAACCCTAAAAAGGGCTGTCGTATCGGTGTCCTCAAAGCAGCGGCCTCTGCAGGCGCCAGGGTGCGAGGCCTTTGAAACGCATAAGCGACTGATGGTTCGTGAAGGGAAAAGACTTGCTTGATGAGAGCTCACGAAGCTAGGAGAAGAGATAGGGTTTGGGGTTTATATAGGGTTCAGGGTTTAGGGTTCCGGGTATAGGGTTCAGGGTTTAGGGTTTAGGGTTTAGGGGTGCGACATCTATGTGTGGCCCAAGTCAGCACTGCGGCACCCGGTCGTCAACAACTAGTAGTAGACATCCTGATTTAGAAGGCCCGCGTGATGGTAGTGTCAGAAAATGAGTCATACACCCCGTCCGTAGTCCGTACCCCTAACCGGCCCTAAAGGCTACAAAACCCTTATAGAGCCCGATTGTCAGAATCTCTGCAGGTTTGCAGAAACCGGCTTGCAGTAGAAATCCGAACCAGGCTGACGTCCTGGCGGAGAGGGTAAGGCCTGCATTTGCGGTTTTGGATTTGGGCTTCGGACTTGCGGGTTTGGGTTTAGGGCTTGGGGTTCGGGTTTAGGGCATGCCGGAGTTTTACTATGTAAGGGGTTTGGAGATTCAGGGAATAGGGTTTAGGGCTTGCTAGCGAAACGTAGATGTTGGTGCCTGCGCGGAGGATAAGCAGGGCTACAAATAGGACACTGCCGGATCAAGGTTTGTATCAAGGTTCTACAGGGGTTTAGGGTTTAGGGTTTAGGGTGTAGGGTTATGGTAGTTCAGTTCAAGGTAATTAAGCCCAAGCCAGACACGCAAAACCCTGAACCCACAACCCAAACCGAGGGCTATTGTTGATATATGGGTGGTTGTCAAAATTATGGTCCCTTTTGGGGTCCTTATTATAATACGGCACCTAGTATTTAGGGTACCCCAAAAGGGACCCTAATTTTGACAACTACCCATATATAGATTGCAATTTTCAAGCAGGCTCCTTCAACGTGTCGACCAACGCGGCTTGAACTCTGAAAAGCGTGCATGGCCGGGTAGCTCCTTTTTCGGGGTCTTAAGAAGAGAGATCCTAAAATAACGAGGATCTACTATAGGGGCTCAATCATTAGAATAGGGTTTGGGGGGTATACGGTATATTATAGTATAGCTATCATAAGGAGCCCCGAAAAACCCTATTCTAATTATTCAGGCCCCTAAATTACATTTTGCATTTTTCTCTCGATGCGGGAAGATGAGGCCGGAACCGCCGAAGAGCAATCGCAAAGATCCCACGCAATGAGCCCTAAACCCTGAACCCCAAACTGTACATAAACCCTAAACCTTAAACCCTCGACCCCTACCCCCTAAAGCCCTAAACCCTAAACCCTAAACTCAAAAGCCTAAAACCCTAAACCCTTAACCCTAACTCCGAAGCCGGACCTCGAGCTTGAAGCGTTCGTTCCCCAAAGGTCCGAAACCAAAAAGGCCCAGAGACCCAATATAGGGGCCTAAAGAATTACCTACGCTATTTTGGGGGCTCCTTATTATAAATATAGTATCATATATCCCAAAACCCCATTCGAATTACTAAGGCCTGTCCATTAGAATCGTAGACGTGGAAGATGAATGAACCCTGAAGCCCCAAACCCCACTCCAAGACCCTAAACCTTAAACCCTACCTGGGCCCAAGTCACCTACCCTTTTTCAGAACCTAGATAAAGAAATCATGATAAGTAACCCAAAAAACGAAGGTTTTATAGGGTCCAGGTATGTCAAAACCTCGAAGCCTGAATGGGCAGGGAGATCAATCCAGACTGCGAGGTGGATGTCGTGCTGGGGCCCTTCTGGGTTATTGGGGGTGGTTTCGAGTCCACGCCGTTGTTGTTGTTGTTGTTG